AGCGCTTTGAGCGACCTCTAAATATATTTTGATTTTAAAATAAAAAAACAGGGGTATACTTTTTTTCGGTATAGAACAATCCTAGGGGGTGAGAGCATTAAATTTCCGACTTTACTTTTTTTTAGACCACCCTAATATACATACATATCTAGCTTATAAGTTCTTATGCATTGAGTGCAAAAGAGTGTATTTTAGTACAAAACGAGACGAAATTTTTTCCTAAAAAATTTTTGCTTAGCTCCATATAAAAAAGTGTTTTATGTAATGTACATAAATGTGATGTATGTACATATATTTTTACACATCATATGTATGTATGTACATACATGTGTATGTAATGTTGCATAACAAGCCAATTAATTCAATTCTTTTTTTTTAACTCGGTGAAATGAAGTGATTTTATGAATTAATACATTTATTTGCAATTTTTTATGGAATCTGCATCGCCATCGGCATCGGCCGATTCTTTCCCCATAAGCCGATTAATCGGCATCGGCATCGGTACCTGAAAAAAAATTGGAATCGGTCGGACTCTACATATTTCTAACAAAAGCGAGCGTTGGGAATTTAAAAAATGTCAACCCGGAATCAAACAAATGTACAGAATTTTGGCATGCCTTAAGCACGCAACTATTTTGTTTTCTTTTTATTGTTTAAAAAAATGGTTGGTTTTTTCTTTGCTTGTATGTACATACATATGCACACATGCACATCTTTTGTTTAAAATTTTTCAAAAGGCAACCAAAAAAATTATTTATTTATTGTAGCTGGTCGCTTGTTTTCGGTGACAATGTAATAATGCCAGCAAAAGTCAAATGACTAACATGGCGACCAAAATCATTCAGTGAAACTACCTTCTTTTTTGTATCACGGCTCTAATAATGATGGATCGAGTGGAGAACCGACGCTCTTACTATCGTAATATCTCCGTTGTTCCTTAACCTAGACTTCTGACAATTTGCAAGTAATTTTATTTTGAATTATAGAATAAGTATATAAATTGTCGGAAGTTTACCTAGTGACATAATTGTTGGCAAATTTTTTGCAACATAAGCGCCATCTGACCAGGGTACGGAGAATATTTAAAATATTAATTGTATTCACAAATAATCCTTTACAGCAAACATTCGGCACGAATTGAAAGCTTTTTAAAATTCTAGATTATAAAAAATTCTTTTTATCATTCGAGCTAGAGAGCACAAGCGCAACCACTTTGAGCAAATAAAAATACGAACAAATTAAAAATGTCTGTCATATAACAAAGGCATAACCACATGGTGGAATTATACAAGGTGTTGTACGTAGTGACAGCTCATGTCGACAGCTCCCTTACAAAAGGTTGTAATATGGAAGCACGAGAGAAACGGGAAGAAAAAAAGCCCGCTTTGCGAAGTAGTACGAAGTTTGGTACTATTTTTCATATAAAATTTTGCATATAAATAGTTACAAACGGTATATTATGATAAGCTAAATTCGCGAAAGTAGTATATATAACGTAGTACTTATGCAATAAATGGTAATTTAGTTTATTAAACACAATGTCCTATAATTATAGTCAAACTTCCAAAACCAAAAACCAACATGACGGAATCGACAAAAAGGGCGCATCGACGGATGGGGAGAATATTTCATCGAACAAAATGCCAGCTAAAGATGTAGAGCTTACATCGCAATGCAAGCTGCGACCGTTCTGAACTGAGATGCCAGACAAATGGTTTCTACAAATTGAGGCCAGCTTTCAGTCGTACAAGACCACATCTTATGTCGGTAAATATAATCTGGTCCTCTCAGCAATTAGCAGCGATGCTTTAAAGGAAGCTGCGGATGTTTTAAAAACCTTACCAACTCAAGACCGATATATTAACCTTAAAAGTCAACTACTGTCACGTTTTACTGATTCAGCCGACCCACATAGGGTATTTGGCTGATTTAGGCATATTTTTATCGCTACAAACATCAAATATAGTTTTAGTTATCGAATAAAACATTCACTATAACTACCCTGTTACTAATAGAAAATTCAATCGTAGTGAAATCTTATTTATTGTCAATATTATTGTGGCTTATTAACATTTGTTTCCATATTGTTATTGAGCTTTGTAGCACTATTATGTTTTTAGGGAAAAGGGAAAAAGCAACAAAGTCTTAGCGGTAGAAGTTACCAAAAAAACAGTTATATCGTTGGAAAAGCAGGGCCAGTGGCAGTGAACCACAGACGGGATTGCAGCAGCAAAAATCACTGGGGAATAGATGCATAGTTAAGTACGTAGTTCTTGGGTAAATCTTCCATCTAAACTTACCAAGAAAACAGTTATATCGTTGAAAAAGCAAGGCCAGTGGCAGTGAACCACAGACGGAATTGCAGCGGAAGGAAGCACCGACCAAAATAACTACAAATCCTTGGGGAGAACTCTAAAGCTGATGCCAGATAAAACTTTGTAGCTTTGCGTGACATTTATAACTTTGCCAGCAACGCGCCAGACGCAAAAGGTATGCCACAATGAACGCCAAGAAAGCAATTTTGTACCGCTGTTTTACTCGTAAAAGTTGCTGTGGATTTTATATATTTTGCTTTAAAATTATCAGCAATGTAATTAAGTTTTATGTTTCTGCATGAAAACCCGAATTTGGACGAAACAAAATAAATATTAAACCGGCTGATTGTCAAAGCGCGCAAAAAGATGGGAGTTGGCCATCTTTTCGCTTCGCGCTGCAGCTTCAACGATTTATGTGGCATGCTTTGTGCATTATCATACAATTCATCTTATCTGTCAAAGCGAATCTGTCACGTAAAGCGAAGCAAAAGTTTTATGTGGCATCAGCTTAAACCGATGTTTTTTTGCCGAATTAATGTTGAAATTTCTAATTTAATTTTCAGTTGCCAACGATAAGAATAGAGTAAATGTCAAAGAATTGTTCAGTGATTGCAAATCAGTTTTGGAATAGGGAATGAGGCAGTTTAGTACTTTTTTAAAGGCGATAAAATGTAGTTTTTTCAAGAGGGAAACACCGATATAGCTAAGGGAGCCAAGATGGCGGATTAGAGCGAGAACGCTGTCAATATCCAACACCTTGTATTATTCCACCATGGGCATAACCAAAATGTATTCAACAAAGTGTGATTGATTTTGACATTGCTCTCATAAGAAACATGCTATAATGTCAAATTGAAATGAATTGTTAACCCATATGAAATTTTTTTTTTTCAAATTTGAATATGTTTAAAAAAATGTACTCAAACATTTCTTAATAAACGTGAAATTGTTAAGAGATAAACCGTCGAGGAGAGCAAGTAGGCACATTTAAAATTTGGTAATAAGTAAATACGTTCGACTTTGCTTAAATATTTTATGTAAGGAAACCAAGATGAAACGGAGCAAAACTTTTGAACGGTGCGTT